AAATGAAACTTCTAGAATTTATAACACTCCTGACGCATTTTCTTCGAAATTTCCTAAATATTTTACGCTATACTGCGATGCTGTTCGGATCGTAAAGCTGTGCTTGTATAATATTAAGTTAATCTTACATAAGAGCCGCACCTCAAACACAAGTTCCGTTGTCTTTGTGAGTTCTCGTGCACTCATTCAGAATTTTTCTCACCTATCTCCTGGCGTACATGCTTAGCTCGGATATCGATTATTTTTGACACGTTTCACCGTCAACCCCATTTTAAACACACTATGGACTCCAAAGTGATATCGCAAATTCTTTGATTGACAATTCAATCGACAAAATATCTCGAAAAAATAAAAAGGTAGAACAATTTTAAACTTCTGCAACGAAATAAACGTTATTTTGGGCACATATTAATTGAGAAGTTCGAAGAGCTGCAAACAATTCAGTGGCGACTGCTTAGATTCATGATTGAGTTTTGGTAAACCAGCAATTAACTTTTCTGAACTTAACTGAGATCAGAAGCGTTTCACTTTATCGAACATATGGGATCGACATGAACATAACATTACATGTAAGAAATTTGTTCACGGAAGACGTCTATTAAAATTGTAAGAAAACTATATTAGAATCGAAATTGCTTTCGATGTCGGTAGCAATTCATCAAAGCTGGTATTATGCATCGATTTAATATAAAACAGGATGAGAATATGATTTACTACTACAAGCTTGCATTGGTATTAAAAGAGATAAAACAGACTGAGCTTTGTCACGCAGCTCATAAAGACAGCGGCACACAAAATTATTTGAAAATCCTCTTTCATGAACTCATAGAGTTGATGTTTTTTTTTGTACTTTACATCATTTGCGACACAAGGATGTATAAAGTTTGTGTGAATGTAGGCAACATCCATACCGATCTATTCAGAAATTCGGTATACCGACGTGTTTTGGCTCAAGGACGAGCGCTAATGAAAATATTATTAGTTGTGATTCGAAGTCACTTCTTCGACCACTTCCATCACGTAATGCCCTATGATGAAATCAATACATGCATTAAGTGAAATGGTATGGGGTATTAATTCCATACTTTGGATCACTATAGTGTTTTTTTTCTCCGTTTCAAACAAATTATCCCAGCTGTAAATTAGTATATAGCGAATCTTATGAGAGAGAGAAATTGACTAAAAACAAAAAAATTGTATTGAGCTGGAAAACGAATCGAATAGTCAGAATTTTGTAGCAAGGGTTTAACGTGGGTTCCTGCCTGAAAGGCTTAACCCCACGGTGGCCCAAGCCACTTTTAAGCGTACTACGCCCCCTGGCGAGTTAGACAATCCCCACAGAGTAGGGGCCTAAACAGCACCAGAGTCCAGAACAGTTTATTGTGTATGGAACAATAAACCCCACTCTGGTGAATGGCGAGGCCTAGCTGCACGCAATTGTTCCATTTTAGCTAGGAACTCGCCAACCACAACCACCACGAGTACTCCCCGAAGGGCCGCACCCAAGCAGTCAGGACTCACAAATTGATCAACTGACTGCTTCCGCCATAAGGCTTCCACTGTGCTGTTGATCAATTACCACCATTACCCGCAGGCATCCGTGACATGTGTTCAAAAGTAAAAATAGGTAAAAGGGGAAAACTTATTCGTCATATCCCTTTTCCATTTTTGCATGTATTAATTAATTTACCAGACATTTTCTATCAATCGGCCAAAGGGAAGGCCGTCCGTCAATTCCTTTTTGCATTAATAGTATAATTAATTTATTTATTTATTACGACTTAAGGACAAAGTCCATCATATACCCGCAGGCATACGTGGCTTTGTGAGGCGAGCTTCCTGACCCCCGTGGCTCCCAGTTTGTTTTGCAAAGCCTTATGGCATACTTTGGGCGGTTGTTAAAAACAACCGTACTTGCTTCGGATTCTCCATACTTTCCTGGTTGCCAGCCCCAAGTGAACTACTTTTCTTCAAGATATATAGGTCTCGGGTATTGCACTGAACATGGTAGCCTAGTCTAATGCACTCTACCATGCACTCGCTAGATTACTACCTTCATTGTACTTAAATACCATTCAATATATTTCCTCGGTAGTAACTAGCTTATTGAGTAAGAGCTCTTCTTCCAGCCAACCCCTCCACCATCTCTCAGAAACTCGTCGCCGAGTTAGCAGCCCAAAACCTTAAACTCTTCTTAGCCGGCCGAAGCCGTTGCCCGGGGATCACCGCTGGGAGGTGAGAGTTTCGGCACATCTATGCTTCTCATCAAAGCATAGTTCATCTCCCCATCGAATAGTCAATCAAAAATAGATGAAATTCGAAATTTTAGTTTATGTTGTTTCACTTTCTGAACGATTGATTGATCAGCCCTTCTCATTGCCAACGCCAAGACATGCACCAAAGAACATACCGTTGCAATGAATTGTTCTTTAACCGTATTGCCAGCCTTTGACGCAAACTGTATGCAGCGGTATATCTCAGGCATGCCTAGCTTAACACAGTAATGGCAGAGCACAATTTCGATACAACACGGCATAAAATATGCAACAATTCTAACACGATTCCGATACAATATTTTTGTACATATATTTTGCTATGGATGTGTGAATGTGTTCGCATAAGTAAATTAAACGAATCCGACACATTTGAGTTACGTATAAAAACATAATATATAATATATATATATATATTATGTGTATATAAGATAGTACTAAGACCGAATAATTCCAATTTCAACTAATTTGGCTCGCCGAGCGTAAAAAATTCACTTTTTCAAACTGTCACTATTACATTCTAACATAATTCTTTATTTTTATACGCTTTGAGAATGAAAGTGCATATACATACGTTTGTATGACTGTCTGTATATCTCTATGCCAACGTTTGTAGACTATGTACATTTCGTTTGTTGTTCTTTGTCGGTAGACACATAGATACGTATGAGTGCATAAGTTTTTCATAATACGAGGATTGTTAGCAAATTATTGAACAACTGAAATTTATAATCAAAACTTCTGCATACGTTTCGTAATGTAAGCTAAATGAAGAACATATTAAAACTAATGTAATTGGGATCAGATTATACTCAATACATCTCGTTGTTATAAATAATGTGTGAACACCCACTTGTTGTTGCTTTTAAAAACAGCGGGTTTCGCTTCATTTTATTTTTCTCTGTATGGGTGTGTGTCGTATGATCGATTTCGCATTTGTACGAGCCTCCAATTGTTTCTGTCAAATTTGAAGCCGATAACTCCATTTTTGCGATCAACATAATGTTTACCGCGGATATAACACAGATGGCACACATATGGACGGACAAGCTTAAATTGATTTTAAAGACTAAAGAATTGTGAAAAGCTATCTGTAAATGTGTAAGTGGGATGGATATATACTAAAACCCGATTATTGCCTAAAAATAATATCTTAGATATTTAGATATTTACGCAAATGTGTTGTTTTCTTGCCACCTTTTTTTTTCGTTTCAATTATTTATTTATTTTTTTTTGTTTATCTATTTGTTTTGCAGCTGTGCGTTATGGTCGTGTACCAAAACGTTCGCGTGAGCTGAATGGCGGTACAACGCCATCATCCACAGACGACACTACCACAGCAAACACCGCTACCACAGGAGCAGTAGCAGCGGCAACAGCAGCGGCAATCGCAACAGTAAATTCGTGTGATTTGCGGCGTGTCAGCACACCGGGAACACCGAATACACCACAGACTCCACAAATGTGTTCCATAGCATCATCACCCTCAGAATTAAGTGGCGGCTGCAGCGCCACGAATAATAACAACAATACAAATAATAATGGTCTCGGCGGTCCAGCGAATGCCGGCGTTGGCGGCTTAAACGCCCAGCAATTGAATAGTGTTGAGAACCATGACGGCATGATGGCCAGCCCAGCTACCGAATTATCCGTATACGACGTTATAATGTGTGTATCGCAAGCGCATCGCTTAAATTGTTCGTACACTGAAGAACAGACGCGGGAATTGATGAGACGATCTTTAAATGTCCCACCAAATGGAGTATGATTGTTGCGAAGATATTCTTTTAATTGTTGTCATATGAAAATTCTGTTTTTTTTTTTTCCTTTTCTTCTCATTTTTTTTTTTTGCTATTTACCTTTATGTTGTAATTTAGCTGATGTCGTCAGTGTCGGAAAGCTTGGAGTTTCAAAAAATCTGGCTTTGGCAGCAGTATGCAGCTCGTGTTACGCCCGGCGTACAGCGTGTTGTCGAGTTCGCTAAGCGTTTACCTGGCTTCTGTGATTTTACCCAAGACGATCAATTGATACTCATTAAAATGGGTTTCTTTGAAACGTGGCTTAGCCATGTAGCCCGTCTGGTTAAGGATTCTACGCTTACATTTGATGATGGCACCTATCTGACGCGACAACAGTTAGAGATTATATATGATGTAAGAACATTTTTTTCGTTATACGCTTGCATATATTTTTACGTATCTATCTATAACCGATTTAGACCGATTTTGTGGTGTCGTTATTCAATTTCGCCAATACCCTCAACGTTTACGGTTTAAGTGATACCGAGATTGGTTTATTCTCGGCCATGGTATTGTTGGCTTCGGATCGACCTGGTATATCTGAATCAAAAATGATAGCACGTACAAGAGAACGTATCACGGAAGCGTTGCGAGTGCAGATCGTACGTTCTCGGAATGCTTCGACACAAGCGCTACAATTAATGCCTGCTCTCGAAGCTAAGATACCAGAGTTGCGTTCATTGGGCGCCAAACATAATGCCCATTGTGGTTGGTTGCGTATGACTAAACCGCGTTTGCCTCCGCTATTTGCCGAGCTATTCGATATACCGATGGAGGACGAGTCGTAAAACGGGGAAACGGGAGCACAATTTTACCACACAAACAAACAACAAGACTAGCAAAATACTAACAAAAAATTTACAACAAACAACAAAACAACAACAGCAATAACAACAGCAGCAAAAAACAAAATATATAAGTAAAGTAGAGCGAAACAAGTGAATATGAAAAAAAGATTGACTTTCTTTAAGCTTTACTCTCCTTATACATACACGCATACATAGATTTTACTTACATAAGTATATTTTAAAAATATTTTTAAAATTAATTGAAAAACAAGCGAATTCAATAACTCACTAGATATTCATTGCATGGAAAAACAGAAAACAAAAAAAAATTCGAAAACTAATATACTATAAAATAGGAAAGAAAAAACAAAAATAAATAAATAAATAAATAAAGCGTAGAGAAACCACACAACACCAGAACAATTATTAAATTAAATAATTCACGCATACGCAAGCATTTTTGCATAATCATCAAAACATTTCGAGGTGAAACCTAAAAAAAATTAATATAATACGACTAACGTAAAGTCAAAAAAATGCCGAATTGTTTAAAGAAGAAAAACAAAAAAACCGTTAATATGATCGATCAACTTTAACCATCGTTAAGATCATCGACGTCAGCATCATGAATACAATACAATAATAATTCTTGTTTTTTTTTTTTTTTTTTTTTTTTTTTTTTTTTTTTTTTTTTTTTTTTCTTATAAAAACAGTAATAATAATAAAAGAAGAGTATTTTAGAGTTAATAAACGTTTCGTAAAACTGCAATTAAATGCAATCAAAACTAAAGATTTTCGTAACTACATAACGCATTAAAAACTTTTATTAAACATAATAAATAAACTAAATATAATAAATGAAACTTAACAAAAAAGAAAAAAAATCTTAATGAAAGGAGGAGAGATATTACTTGTGAATCATTACTTTCATCATTAAATGACTACTTTTTTTCACAGTTGTTTATTTTATTTTATTATTATTATTATTATTATTTTTTTAATATAATAATAAACATATATTATGCAATATAATAATAATTATTATTATTATTATTATATTAATTTGATGCAATATTTTAAGAATAGCTCGGCTTTTTTATATCCAGCAAAACTAGTGATTCCAAAGGGTTATTATTAAGGATTCTTAAATCTAGAAAAATCACATCCACTTGATAGTACCTAACGTACTTATTTTGCCAGTACCGGGATTTGTGAAGAACCTATTTCGGTTAAATCTGGAAGATTTACGTCATTTCGGCAATGCCTAGTACTTTATGATATATAAACGATCATTTCGCCAAAAAGGATAGAAAACTGCCAACGAGTATTCGTTTAAAGCATTTGTCACTTTTCACGAGCCAGAACGAACAACAGGCCTCATAAGGAGGCCCAGTCTATTAGGATAAGAAATTGATTCATTTTCCTGACATTTAATCTCGTCCAGCAAACCAAGTAAGAGTGAGTCCTAAGGCATTTCATTGCCTTTCCCGAATAGTTTGTAGTAAAAGTCGTTACCGCGTAGAGCACTTTGAACATTTCCGCATAGAAAATTTTTTTGGAAACTTGAAAGTTTGTACAAAACGCTTCACTTACTATTATTATTATTATTATTATTATTATTATTATTAATCATTTTTGACAATAGTAAATTTTTTCGTTTTATTTTTACATATATATATGTCAGCAGAAACCATTTTTTTTTTTTTTTTTTTTAACCGAAATAATGCTTATAAAAATTAAGCAAAAAGCTTACCAGAAACGGTACGCAAAATTTCACCTTTACTCGATAAGAAATTTTTAAGTCATAAGTCCATGAATTACTTAACGCGATTAGTTCCTATAAAGGCTAAGAAATGCTATGCCATTTTAATTGTAAAGATTCGAGAGATATTCAAACCCCTTCTCATTTGATATCTGGTTTTGAAAAGCTTTAATTCGAAATTTTCTTCAATCTCATCTAAGTATCATCTACACGCGGTTCCGAATTGTGCATTGTGTGATCGAATTTTATTTGATTCGAGTCAATTCAAGGCAATTCAAGTAATCAAGATTAAAACTGCTGTTCATTCCAGCTCTTAATTTATTAAATAAAATTGAAAATTTTAAACTGTTTATCATCACTTATCTATTATTGACGTGGTATTATGTAGCATCTCCTGTCTATAGATCAAATAAAATGTTTTTATTATTGTTTAGACTGCGAGTAATAATCAAGTGGTGTTTTCTATTGGCCAGTGGTACGCGACTTTTAAATGTATCTCTTATTGTTTTTTTTTTTTTTTTTTGTTAATCTATTAACAAATATACTTTAAAATGTTTTGCTGGATAATAAGAAAGAATGCGCTTTTAGTGTAATTTTCAAAATCGAATTTAAAAATTTTGGTTGGCAAATGTTTGTGACGAGTTTGCATGCGTTTAATATATAACTTAATTATATATATATATATATATTCCTTAACTTTTAATGGGAAAAATTGTAAATAAATTCATTTTTTATATATTCGCACAATTTATTATTAAATATTAAGTTAAACTATGGATTTTTTAAAAACAAAAAAAAAAAAAACGAAAAAAGAAAAGCAAATTGTCTTAGTGTAGTTGTTAAGAGAGAAAATAATTTTCGATTATTATTATTATTATTACAATTATTATTATTATTTTTTTTTTTTTTTTTTTTTTTTGAATATTTAAAGATGCAATTAATTTATTGCGAAAATCTTGCAAAATCTAAACCGTGTTAGTTAGATATTCTCCTGAATCGTTACTAGTGAAAGTTCTTGTGTAGTTACCTTCCTTTCCGTAGCAGTAGACTGTTTTCGTTTTTATTGCTTACTCTAAAAACGATCAATTTTCCTAATAATAAATAATATTTGATGAAATCTAAAGTTGATTTGAAATTTTGAAACCATATTTCTTAAGTTTTAATAAAGATTTGCTTTCCAAAGGAACATAAAATTTTAAGCTTTACTTAAATGGTAACAGTTTAAGTTTCGCTAACGTTATGTTTATCAATTTTAAGCACACTACACCCTTCCAAAGCATCTATCTACAGAAATGCTGTACCTTTGCGAAACTATTAGAAGAAGAAAATTAGTGTTTTGCGTAATAAATGATCGGATAGTTGAAATTTCTGACGGACATTTCTCAATGGTCTTCAAAAGCGATAGACTAAAAGACTTGACATTTTCAATTTCATTCAATTCTTGGCCTAGGAAATTACGACAATAGAATAAAAAGGCGAATTTAAAAAAATAATATCTTCAACGATCCGTAAGACGCCGAATGCATAATTGAATGAAAGTAAGCCGGCAACAAGGAAAAGAATAGAGAAGATGAGTGCAAGTTATACACTAGAGTGATTTTCAATTCTATTTTAAAAATAAGAACGCGCATTGGATAAAATAAATTTGGTCCATTTGAGGCTTTTAAGAGAATTAACTTGCCGGCCATATGGCCTTGAAACGGGGTTTCATGCGTCTCGCCATCACATTTGCTTTCGTTAGGAAACTAAAAGTAGCAAAAAAAAAAAAAAATAAATAAAATAAACAAACAAGAAAGTTATACTCGGCGTAGACCAATTCTCGCCTGCCTGCCTACCCACCACCTATGCTTTCTGCATTCTACTCTCCAAGTTATTTTATTTGATACCCACATCGATGGTATTATAAAGAAAAAATTTATCGCTATGTCTACCATAATCATCTTAGAATTAATCTATTTGTAGGCAAATAACTTATGTCCATTTGAGGAACATACCAAATAGTTTTAAACATGCTTAAACATTGTTTGCCGTATGATAAAAAATAAGCATAAAACATCAAAAAAGTGAAGTGAAAAAAGCATGGGCGATTGGTTCCATTTGTAGATCGAAAGAGTAGAGTGATTCGTTAAGTAAATGGAAAAAAATTTCAGCTTTCTAACTTTAATAATTTTAGAGTAACGAGCAAAAATCCAAAAATTATTGTTAGGAAAAACGGAGTTGTATTCAGTCTATGCTCCACTACGGGCTTCTGCTCTAACTAATTTAAACCATTTTCAATGCCAACCAGTGTGCGGAAACTTGCACTATTTCTACCAAATTTGAAGTCAATATCTCAATTTTTGCGAGCAAGAAAGTGCCAATAACAAACAACACATAGACGGACATACATGGGTAAATCAATTTCAGCATTTCCCGCTGATTAAGAATATATATACTTTATATGGTCTCTGAAGTCTCCTTTTGGGTGTTACGTATATTATGAAAAGAAAATACACAAAATGATTATATCCCCATCTTACAGTGATGCGTATAAAAATCAGAACATTTCAATATATTTTCGCAAACAACTTACGATATCTATCTGAAAAAAAGTTCTGCAATTTTGTGCTATTTGTCGTGAAACACCCGACAATACACTGACAATTGAAATCAAATTGTGATTCGCTTCAAGACGTAAACAGCTATCTATGTAGTGTGCAACACGTGGTATATTTAGTTAGCAAAAGAAACCAATTAGCTTTAACATAAATGCTTTCATTATATTGAATGCCTTCGCCAGAAATTTTTGATATCAATAAGAAAGGGTGGCACAAGCTGTTACGCCTCGTAACGATAAACCTTATGTTTATACATTTTTGTGGTAATGAATATCGGAATGTTTGCAAAAAGCAAAAAGAAGAATGGTCCATACAAAAAAGAAAAACCCATTTGCGCTTACGGAAAACAAAGTCGCAGCAAAGGCATAAAGCCATTAATTTCATCTCATATTGAAACTTTTCTACTGTTACCAATGTAGAGTAAATTATCGAGTTTGGAAACAATAAAGTAAAAAATTATTATGTTATTTTTCATTTTTAAAGATATATAGCTTATGCTCTTTTAATATATAAGCAGATGGTATTTTTCATAAAAAATTCTTTATAAATTTGAATTTTATTTTTAAATTAAGAAAGTTAAAATTTTTGTTTTAACATTTAATATCTATCAATGGTTTAATATTAGATTTGTTTTACATATCATCTTAGTTATATATACATACAAGACACACAAACATATGCATACATAAAACACACATACATACATACATACATACATACACTCATACATACATACATACATATATACATGAATGCATGCCCACCCTGAGTATATTCGAAACACAAAAAAAAGAAAAAAGAAAAAAAAGCGAACATTTTGCAGCCTTCCATATAAAATGATTTCAAATCACGTGTTATTTATATATACAAATATCGGTTAAGAAGAAGTGTAGTTGAGACACAAAAAGCCATTTTTAGAAATACATACCTTTAAAGAAACAAACAAACAAAAAAAGAAAACAGCCGAACAAACAATTCGTATATAAGAAACGCAGATTTAATTTTTTTTTTCTTTATTTTATTTTATTTTTATTTTTTTAATTCAATAAATTTTTCAAGATAACTAAAAGTTGTTAACAAAATATTTTTAGAATTTAAATAAGTTGTAAACAAACACTGAAGTAAAGTAAAGAAGAAAAAAATTAAAATTAAAAAAAAAAAAATAAGTTTTGAAATTTAAAAGAATTATAGAAATAAATAAAAAAAAAAAAAAATGAAAGAAATCGTCATGAAAATGTTGTACAATCAGTTGTGTTGCATTCATTGAATTAATTGGTGCTAACATCATATATTTCATATAGAAAAACAAAAAAAAACAAAAAAAAAAAAAAAAACAAGAAAGAAGCATACATACTCTCACCCTCACCCTTACACTTGTACTCGAACGGGTGTAAAAGAGTTATCTTCATTTTGTAATAATAATTAATAATAAGTTTTTTTAAATTAAGTTTTAATTTACCCTGTATGCTTAGAATAAAACAAGAAAAAATAAAAAACAAAAGACTCGTAAAAAAATTTGTTTTTTTTTTTTTTTTCTAATAAATAAATAAAAGAACTATTAATAAACTTAAGTAAACGGTCAAAATATCGGGCCTTTATACTCATCGCCGAAGCAAGATGTGCGTATATCAGTCTGGTAATTAAATTTGCAACAACAACAAAAAAAGCACGCATTCCAGACTTTGATCTTAATCCGTGCGAGATTTTTACTTAATTTTTTCTCAATTTTTTTCCCAAATTACTAAAAAGTTGAATCTTGGTATCGGACTAGTTTTGAAAAAGGGAATTATATGCTCACGATTGCTAAACAGCAAAAAAAAAAAAAAGATTATAATGAATTACTTACAATCTATGGCAGACATCGATCGAGAATTTGATATAACAAATTCATCAAAAATCCATGTCAACTAAAATTATCAAAATACTTTGAAATTTTTATATACTCTCGTGCGCGGTGATGGGCGTTGATCATTCGTCCAAAGGGCGAATGTCTTCTTCTTTCAGTTATATAAAATTTTATTTCTAAATTAAAAATTTGAAATGAAAAAAACAAAAAAAAAAAAAAAAGAACACGAGGACATACTTATTTAAACACGTACCTTTAGTGACGGCGTATTAAAATTTTCTTGAGCTAAAATTTTATTTTCATTTTCATTTTAATTTTTTTTTTTCTTTTTAACTACATTTATAAAATTAATATTTTAATATAAATAAAAGATTTCATATAAAAACACTGTTAAACTCTTGAGTTGTCTTAAATAAAAATAAATAATAATGAAAAATTCACTTTATTATTAAGAATAATAATAATATATAAAAATATTAACTATTAGAGCGAAAAAAGAAACTGTTTCGTGAAAATGTGTCAAATTTTTTTTTTATATTAAAGAAAATATTTGCTACATATTAAAACAAAAGAAAAAACAAAGAGAAAATAGATAAATAAATAAACAAAAAGTAAATAAATTAATAAACAAATTAATAAAATATATTAAAGAAAACTTGTAAAACATAAAAAAAAAAAAAATAAATAAAAATAAAAAATAAAATAAATAACGTGTAGTTTGTAGTTAAATGAAAATTTTGTGCATAATTTTGTGAGAAAACATAGCAAAAAACACCAACTTTAACAGGCATAATACACAATATACACACACAAATATATATATAAAATCAGTAAAATCTTTCCTTAACGTACACGTCTAACAACATTTGATAATAAACAAAAAAAGAAGAAAATAATAATAATAATAATAATAATAATGATAATAATAATAATAATAAATAAAAAAATAAATAAAAGAAATACTCATACCGCATACCATACCACAATTAAATGACATGATTGCAATATTTTGAAATCTTTCGCAGGCGAACATCGTAATATGAACAAAAATGTCCATTTTGCAATTCAATTGTTGATTGTTTAAAGACGATTTTGCATTAAAACAATGCTCCTAACTACCTACTGTACAGATATATATATATATATATATATATATATATATATATAAATAATATTCTATATTTTATTATCAACTGAGCTGTGGCTATTACGCAATCAGTATCTCTATTATCCGTTGCCATCCCATCCATGTAAACAAATCAGTCTTTCAAAATAAATATATAAATATTATATAGGGCTTCCCATACGAGAGTGCTGGACGACGTGACGTTCTTCCCCGCCTCCTTTCAAGAATAAAAAACAAATAGGAAAAGAAGAACATTGACATACGTGCTGTCAGGAATTACTGTATCTATACTGTATGCAAGTCCGCGAATCTAGAAAAACACATCATTAGTATGGCAATAAAATGGTTTAGGAAAAAGCGATTAGTAACTGTGGTGCAAACATCCCGAAATGCATGCAATGCGTGCTTGCAATCGTTTAATGACGAGTAGAGTGCTTTAATTTCTATGCATTACACTTGATTTAATCTCTCTTAGATCCTTATGGCTCAAGAGGTTACAAAGAATCGATGAAATTGAAGACATGTTACGGTCAAGTCTTTGATCTTGTTCATCCCTAGGACGTTGCATTCAAATGCCTATTGTTAATCAAATGATGAACTAAGCGTGAATGACTGGACATGTATAAGTAAGAAATGTCTGACTTACACCAATTCGCCGCAGATCCGCAGTTAGATATGTCTGAGTCTTTGTTTTTTTTTTTTTTTTTGAAAGATTTTTTAATTTATAATACTTTGCATTATATACTTTTGTGTGCGTATTTTTCGATGACTTACTTATAGGGAAGATACAGAGCGAATCAAAATACCGTAAAGCGAATATTGTGCAATCCGGACAATCGTCGTCATTGGAAATCCGTTAGGAAAGGTTTTACTGTATAAATCTTAAATGAATGTTTCATTATATAGTATTAGTAAGAAATTGTAAAAAAATAAAAGGCAAGGAAAAGAAAAGAAAAGAAAAGAAAAGAAGAAAAATGGGATAATCTTGACAATTTGACGTTTAAACGGTAAACATAACTACTTACATACATAACATAATTTAAACAAAACATACAAAATTTCCTAAAAATGAATATTTGCTCGCTGAATATTTAACTTTAAAAAGAATCTAAATGTGAACATTTTTAATCTCCAAAATGAAATATTAAAATATATATGAAAAAAAAAACAAAAAAAAAAAAACCGAAAAAGAAAAAGGAAACTCGCTAAAAAAGAAAATAATTAATAAGTAACAAAAAACTCGCTTCTCTTTCTCTACAGTGTACACACACATACATATATATAAACACACACATACCTACACATACACACACAACTACTTTCACACATCCTCATACATTAACACCAGAGAAATCCAAACTTAAATACTACTCTTCAAGTAATAAAAAAAACAAAAAAACAAAAAAAAAACAAAAGTAAATAAATAAATAAATGAAATAAAATTAATTAAGAAGAAAATACTGATGGAATACAATTCAAAATGGAATATAATCAAATTGCAACTTGAAAGTTATGATTTAGGTTTTTTTTTTTAACATTTAAAACAAATTTGAAAATACAAAAAAAAAAAAAAAAAAAAAATCAATAAATAAACAAAATATAAAAAAAGAAAATAAAAAAATAATTTAATTAAAAATTAAATTAAAATCAAATTCTTGTTCTTCATTGTTATAAAATGGGCAGAGTAAGGCAGTAACGGTAACTTTAGTATTCAATTTTTTTAAAACTTTATTTAGAAAAATTCTTTACTTTAACTGTATTCGTTTATTACAAACAAAAAATATAATTTTTTTTTAATTTTTCAATCATCACGTGGTTGCGGATAGAATTGAGTTAAGTTCGCACTTAATTCTTGAGCCAATTCGGGCGTAGCAGCAGCCAAAGCACGACGAGACATCATATCAAAAGCGCCACCGGCCGGATCGATAACGACACCACCCGCCTCACGCACAAGTAAATCGGCAGCACATACATCCCACGCGTGTATACCGAATTCATAGTAAGCATCTGCAGCACCCAAAGCCACCATTGACATGTTTAAAGCCGCCGAACCCAACATACGAATGCTAGAAAACGTAAATAAATGAAAAGGCGATCGGGGGTTCACGCATGCATTAGCTAATTGATAACCAAGCAATAATTCAATGAGGGAAACATTGCTCGTTTCCTGCCCACTCGCCTACCACACGGTCCCTATCTGTTGTGATAAATTCAATGGAATTTGTCCTTAAAATCGATCCGTTAATTCGATCACTCACTTGGACCAAGTTTACTATCTATTCTGAACTATTACCTATGGTATTATCAATATGTCCTCCACTATTTGTCTTTTCTTTTTTTTTTTCTAATACATTTGTGTGCCTTTATTTTCGCTCTCGTTTAATTCCAAGTAATGCGTAAACATTGACTTTATTCAAATTTAGTACATTTAATAAATAGTGATATTTGTGTGTGTGTTTCTTTTATTTTTCGTACTCAAAAAAGACCAAATGGAAACAATGCACAGTGGTATACCGTTAGGTTAGGAAGCATGACGCGCTGAACGAACACACACTGTGGTGCAATGCTTGGGGCAGAACACCAAACATCACCTCAATCGTCGAGAATTGACGAACGGATATAGAGCAACATTTGAATAGAGAGCAAAATCCAAAAGGTTTGGCGAGCGTTATATGTCTTTAGTAAACAGTACGCCCGGGAGATGCACAGCTAGTATTAAAAACAAAAGGCGTCCAACTAAACATAAAATTTTTTAACTTTTTAATCTATGCTAAATTGCTGTCCAGACCTCTTTTCATGATTCAATTATACTGCATGAAGAAGAAACCGGTTTTCCCATTTGACTTGTTCAAAAAAAAAAAATATATTAAAGCAGACGTGAATATAGAACTTTTCCCTGGTCAGGATTGGTGCATACAATAATCGTATATGCATATATACTATTTTCGTTATCAAAAAAAAATTGCTTCGCTTACCCGTGAGCTTTTTCCACTAATTTACTGAAATTTTCTTTGACCACTTTCATTTTCTCGGGATCTCTGGAGGTGCCAAACTCGCTTGTTATTAATGCATTTGATAATTGCTTTTGCCCGCTAACTGTAATCGATTGATTATTGTAGAATGCCCCGTGACCGCGACGTGCATAAAATAATTGCTTCAGCATAGGATTAAAAACGTAGGCCAACTCGGTTACTTTCTTTACCACCAGTCCAACCGATATGCAGGAATGGGGAAAAGCGTGCACAAAATTCATTGTTCCATCGACTGGATCGATAATCCAAGTAGGTGAATCGGTGAGCTTATGCGGAGCACCTTCAGCACTGCTTTCCTCCTCCCCAATGAATCTATATCAAGCACATAATATATGTATATTCATCATCATTTATGTATATTTACCGATGATTAGGAAACTCATTCTGTAGGCCCTTTATTAAGAGACTCTCAACTTCTTTATCTGTTTCGGTAACTAAATCGATATCACCTTGTTTAGTAAGGAATTCTTTACGGTGGGCATTGCGGGTATCAATGATCTAATAAAGTAAATAATTTTCAATTTCAATGAAAAATAAATCAATATAACGTTAAATAATTACATACTTCACCAGCTTTATTTATTAAATCACTGACCACTTGATGGCATTTATTTAAATCAATAGCTTCGCACTTTTCCTCCATATGCCCTAACAACGTTCAACAATCGAATGGAAAATTAATTTTTATTAAATTAAAATTTTTAACTAACCACCATAGCATATGTATAATAAAAAAAAAAAAAAAAACAACAACAATATTATTTCATTAAAGATATGCGTCCTTCTCACACGAAATTATCGTTAACCACAACTTTATCTAATTAAATTAAATGAAAATGAATTCAACAGCAACAACAACAACAATAGTAGGAACTACTAGATATCTAACATATGCATAAGGTTGATTAACGAAACAGAGAGAGAGAGAAAAAAAAAAGAAAAAATATGGCAACTCTGAATGAGTAGCATGAGATACAGATAATATAGAATTACTTGCAATGACTGTGCGTTCTGCTTAGAACATCGTATGCGTTATTATTATTTTCTAAATAACAATCTCAACGGTTTTCTAGCGTTATATTAACCCTTAACGAACGAAATAAAAATAAAAATAAAAAATCGTATGGCCCACCACCTAGATATAGCAGACATCTATTCATCTATTTCAACTTCCATTTATAATTCGATAGCTATACCCATCACCGAACAATGAGCGGTCCGTCTGTCCGTCTTCTCGTCTGCCCGTCTGTGTTATGTTCCTAGCCGCAAAACAGAAGCTATCGATTTCAAATTTGTCAGAATCATTGCAAATTCTTGTACGCAGGTTAGTATTGAAAATGGGCGAAATCGATCGAAGCTACCGCCCTACTACAGCCCTATGTACATTACGAACACCTCTTCTCTAAATAATAAAAAATTGTCTTTTCATCATTACCCATAGACTACAGCAGATAAATGCTGCAAAATTCGAAGATACATTTTATAGGCGATGCTATAGTATTAAGAAAAATTGACCGGATTTGTCAATGTTTAATTTTTTTTTTCAGTATCTTTATAAGGTGAAAACACAAGTTTCAAAAACCCCGCAAAGTGTATAAAGTCGTGGCCAGTGTTACATTCAGAACGCACCTAAGCAAGTCCATCTGCCCAACCGTGTAATATCTGTGGTACACAGCCACCCATTTACAAAAAAGAAGATATTACCTATAAAATTGCAAAAGAGTTTGAAAACCGACTAAACAGGTCAAAGAACATGGCTACAACGCTTTCTTGCCTAAAGGGTTTTAGGTTTGTAAACATTCTTTGGGTGGCAAAGCAAGATTAGAAAACGATACCCCATAAGAAATCGTCGATTGAAATTCAATATAGGCATCTGAAAATCATAAATTGTCTTCTATAAAATCTATGATGATAATGATGATGATGATGATGGTATAAGGGCCGAGTAAATTTCAATTGATTTTACTTAAGGATTAATGTGTCATTAAAGGAGGAGAAAATATTGCCAAATTTAATTTTCTAGTCTTCTTGGAAGAGACAATGCAAAAGTGTTTTTTACAAAACAGATAGAGGAGAGATGAAATTTATCAGACCTCATTTTAATATGCGGAAGTACTTTCTCTACCCAAAAAAAAAAAAAAAAAAAACAATTTCATCTGCATTCCCCTTTTATTATATCGGTCGATTCAGAATTATTTTCTAAATCGATCTAAGCCCTAAGTCTGTCCGTCTGTCCATCCGATGTCTGTCCGTGCATTTTTGTGTTCAAATTTCAGGTCGCAACTTTTGAGATATTTCGATAAAATTTGGTACATACACGTATTGTGGCTCGACGATCGGTCCACATTCTCAAACACTTCTCATATAATGCCCTATTGTGAACAGTCGTTACATGGGGAAAAGTGCAATTTTCAAAAATTCTTGGCAAAAGTGGCCAAGTAGTAGTAGTATTTCCCCATTCTAAATTGATTTGAAAATTTTAGACTTGAGGCTGGGGCAATTTTTTGAAACTGTTGGTAAAACGATCAAATTTCCAATAGTTCATGGTGAAAAACGACTCATTGAATTGACGAAATATATATTCTTATCGAATTTTTTGGATACCGCTGCATACAAGGACTCTCATGAAAAGTAAACCCATTTTTGTTAATTTTTTGAGTATGAAAAATTGTTCATGATAGTAATTGATAAAAGAAAAAATTTAAGCAAACCTAATTGGAACCACATTGATCGATTTCTTGGCCCCACTGCATATAAGAGTGCGTAGTAGTAAGCCAATCTGAGAAAAGATTAATTTTTAGCATTTTATGATGAAATTTAATTCACAGTAGAATTTCAGCAAGAAATTTGAATCACATAAGTCTATGAAACGGAAACTGTTATAGGGAGAGAAACCTTCTAACCTTTCAATAAGCAGGCTTTCATGAGAATTGTGGCTTTGCATGAAAATAATGTGTATTTTTAGGAGTGTAATTATCAAAACGAGCGAATAAGTAACTTATACTAGACGAAGTGTGGTGTAGGTGTAGGATATGTAATTGTCGGAGTTACCCTACTGTAATGTTCTCGTACTTGTTTTTGTAATATTTTCACTTTATTTGTAAAGTTGTTAGCAAAGCGTATTCCCTTCATTGTTATAACATACTTACCTCGTGTGAGAGAGTTTTACTACTAACTTTTTCTAGCAATTCTATGTAATGCCAGTAGAGTGTGAATTCAGTTTCGTTTAACATTTATTAATGCATTAATTAATTCAGTTATTTTTGCTCTGAATTCATTTTTCAAATATTATTTATTTCAGCTAAATTTTTCTAAACACAATTGCATTGATTTTATTTTATATTCTTTTCATTTATTTATTTATTTATTTAATTTTTTTTTTTTTTTTACATACTTTATACTCGTTCAAACTTATAGCCAAATTAGTCACGGAATGTAAACCTTTTTTTCTTTTCTTTTTTTTTTTTTTTCTTTTTGAGCTATGTTTCCTATATTTTATACAAAATACACAGAACAGAACAACAATTAATTGCTGTTAACCTGTTGACCTTGCTTCAAAAATCTGTCACATCCGTAAACCTTTCAAAAAACAAAACAAAAAAAAAAAAAAAAAAAAAAAAACTTTTTTTCTCATTTAAAAGCTAGAGTAGAATTTGCTGCACTCTAGTAATAGATGCAAAAACCGTGATATGTATTCGTTACTGGAAGTCTTATTTTATGCAAAAACGAAAAACAAAAAAACAAAATATCTATTAAATGAAACAATTATACACATTTTTTTTTTTTTTTTACGATTATTGTTGTTGTTGCTCTTTTTATATATTATAAATTTATGTATATTTTAAATCAATTATTACTTAAACTTTTATACGTAAGCATATAAAATCGAACTGCAGGTGCATAGTCTAAAAGTCGTAATGGAAAATATCTTGAAACACGAGCGACTGAAAGACTTCATACTACGAAATTAATTACATTTATACAGTTACAAGAGGTTACATGTTGTTTAGCTATGCTTTCTTCTTTTCACAGATCCTTTAAATGTTTATCTTCGTTTATAATTCATATTGAATTGATTATTCAACGAAAATACTACAAAGAAATATTAATTAGATGTGAATGGATGTGCATGTGTGTGTATGTGTGTGTGTGTGTGTGTGTGCCTCTGCATTTGTGTTTGTGTGAATAGGATCTGATCTAAAAAACATTCGGCATTGAAGATGATACATTAATGACAGCTTGTTTCCGAAAAATATATTGAAGCATACGAACCCACTGACTGTCTCCGTTTATTAATTTGCAAAAAAACAAAATTTAAAAAAAAAAAAAAAAAAAAAAAAAAAAAAACTCATTTTAGAAAAGTGCAATTTTTCAATTGAAGTTTGAAAAATCGTCAAAGAACCAAACGGGCCAAAATCTGGGTATACTCTTTATGCATTAATGCGTATTCTGATTCCAGTTTCAATATCCTCAGTCGGATCCCTTAAATTTGCTTTAAGATTAAGGCAAGAATTCATTTGTTCATAATCGTTCGCATTTAAAATCTTAAGTTATACTTTTTCCCTTAACTATTTCAAATTAATTAAGAAGCTATGATAAATGTTTATCATTGCAATCTGCTTCTGAAGACTCTATCGAAGTGAACGTTTTCTTCTTCTTCATTTTGAAAACTCTGCCTTCTTCTAGTCGTTTTTCTTCTTCCTCTTTTTATAACCTACCCACTTATGATGCAGGTCGTATGTAACACGCAGAAGGGCTTATGATAGATCCACCTTTTATTATACAAATCGATTTAGAATCATAATCTGATAAATTGAGCTAACCCTTTCCGTCCATGTATATTTTTTTTTGCAGCTATAAATCGCAACTTTGGCGTGTTTTAACCCAAGAAAGAACGCTATTGAAAATTGCTTGGATCGGTTGACTTTTTCGACCACACCCCATATAACGGTCTATTCTAAAAATGCTTTATGTGGGAAAAAATTGTTATTTTCAACATTCCTCGGCAGAAGTGGTAATAAGTAGTAATACACCGTCATTCCAAATAGGTATGAAAACTTTGAACGGACTAGGGTAATTTTTGGATCCCCTCCCATATATAACGAAAACTGAAGTTCATACGACAAAAAGGGAAAAAATTTTCAATGCTTCATGATGAAAATTGTAATATGGTAAAAAAATTAACTGTACCAAATTTGGACCATCTTGGCCTATTTATTGGATACGACCATAATTAGGAGTTTCACAAAAATTGATCGTTTGTAGAGCAAAAAAAAGTCTAAGGTTTAATATATGATGATGGAAATTGGCCGATAATAGTAAATGCTATCGTTGCTAGCAAATTGGGCCATGTATGCCTATTTTTGGCTTCTGCTCTACGTAAGAATTAAACTTGCACAATATTAGGTTGCGTTTTGGGCTTCCTTCCCCATACATACGCACTTAAATATTATGCCTTTATATGCAAACAAGATATAATTTTTGTGCTCTAGAATAAAAACAAGAATTGTGTTAGAAAATGTGGAATAGGGTATTTAATTGGCGGCCCGACTTCAATATTCTTAGTCGTTTGGTAAGGAAATGATTTTTTTTTTTTTATAAACCTCTAAGCGTTTGTTTCTGTTGCGTTTGCATCTCTTACTCATCAGCCTACGTTAGAGCTACAGGGAATGGCGAAGCGTTCCGCTCAACTTCATTCGGCTCAATTAATTTTATTAAAGTTATTTAAAGTTCTATAACAAAAATGAGAATTGTGTTAGACGACCTTGCCCGACTGTTGTGTTCTTACTTGTTTTTTATTCTTTTTGTTTTTCCTTCTTTTAAGAGAGAGATAATTGAAAGTTTTAGATATTTTAAAACCAATTGCCGCGGAATCATTTCCATTTTCAAAGCAGGTTTGTGCCACGAACATAAGCACAGGCATACTCAGTTATAGTTGTGAAATAAAAACAAAAAATAACTAAATTTTTAAAAAAATTTTTTTTTTTAATTTGTAATTGCTCGAAATATATATAGGATAGTGTATTGGAGAGACCATAAATCATGTGTACTTTTATTTTTGGTTATCCTTAATATTCCGGATGAATTTAGCCATCTTCAGCCAGTCTTGAGACTCTCGAAAATGAAAAGGTGGAAAGAAGAAAACTACATTTTGCGCATATATATTCATTGTTGGATCACTTTCAACGAGTTTTCATTCAAAAATCCCTTTATCAAGATGTAATTGGAAAAAAAAAGCGATTTGAAAATATTGTCATAAATAATTTACAAAATATAGGAAGAAAAAAAAAAAAAAGGGATTTGAAATTGAAAGAAAAAAAAAACACATTTGACTGAGTCATTCGAAAAGTTCAACCTTGGCCATCTGGCACACTTTGGCAAATTTTTTTTTTTCTTTTCATTTTCTGGTTTGAAGCAGTTCACCTCGAGACAAATATAACTTTCCTTCTGGTTTGTTTAATTTTATTCATCTTATTTGTAAATGTCAAATCAATAAAGCGTACATTTCTTTTTGCTTTTTTTTTGTTTTTGTTTTTTTTAAAAACTTTAATAAGTTTAAATGCTAGAAAATGACACAGTATGGCGTACTGGTGGTGCAGGATTTAAAAAAAAAAAAAGAAAAGGAAAACCAAATACTCGAAAAATGCTAAGAAAAATTAATATTAGAAAATGAACGTAACTTTCAAATGTACGTATGTATGTAAAGGGAAACTCAACTCTATATATATTTTATATGAAATTGTAAGCATTATTATTATGTAATGGCATATATTTTATTTTATTTTATCAATATATTTGTATATATACATATATATATATATATATATATATATATATATATATATATATATATAATTTTTTTTTTTTTTCAAAAATACTTAAAATCTGTTAGCATAAATATTTTCGTTAATAATAATGATTTTTTACTTTTTTTGCATTTTCGTTTTCTCTCTATTTTACTATTCAACAGTTTGAAACCAAAGGATTACAAATAATAGATATTCTGTTCAAATATAATTATGAAAAATGAAGACTAAAGAAGGGAAAAATTGAATTACATGCAACTACAGCGTATATACGTGTACAAACAAACAAAAGCAAAAAAACTCATCTATGTATAAATATTAATAATAGTTATAATAATAATAAACATATCTACATATATAGGTAAGTGTGTGTGTTTGTGTGTGTTTGTGTGTATGTGTGTGTGTGTGTGTGTATGTTAGCCTTTTGCATTTTAAAACAAATAATAATGACTCACACGTTTTAAGAATTGAAGAATGTGCAGAATATTATTATTGAATGGCTGTCTGGGTGTGTGTGTGTGTGTGTGTGTGCGTAAATGTTTTATCATGTGTACATTCGTTTCATATTATTAAAGACTTACAATTCTAAGCTTAGTTCCTCTTAAAAAAAGCCATACATATTTAATATAAATAAATAATAAAAATAAAATAAACAAATAATATATATATATATATACGTGTGTTTTTGTATGGCTACATAAAAGCTTGAGATTTTATAATAATTTTTGTTAGAGGTTGCCAGAGGCGGATACATAGTATGAAAGAGAACGCGAGAAAGACAGAGAACAAATGACAACAACAATGTATTGAAAGCAACTTTCTATTTGCTCTTTTGCCAATCCCATAGACATATTTTAGATTTATAGGGGAAGCTTTGCTTATTTATTTATTTTTTTTTAAGACTTATCTTATCTTCCAAATTGTGTTTGCATTTCCTTGTTTCACTCTCATGATATTATATTGCGAAATTTCTTACTTAGTCTCTTGCGGACGATTGGCGAACAGCTGTTCCACAATACTTTCATCCGCTAATGTCGAGGTGTCGCCGACATTTCTATCATTAATCGCTATTTTACGTAGAACTCTACGCATTATTTTGCCGGAACGAGTTTTCGGCAAACCGGGTGCATGCTGTACAACGTCAGGCATAGCGAATGGTCCGATTCGCTCTCTAACCAATTTCTTTAAGTCCCCAACCAATTTTGCATCAAATGTTTCATTTTCATTAGGCGTTATGAAACAGTAAAGACATTCACCTTTAACGGGATGAGGTCGTGATACCACAGCCGCTTCCGCCACACGATTGTGTTCGGTTAGAACGGATTCTACTTCAGCTGTTGACATTAGATGACCCGATACATTGAGCATATCGTCAACACGGCCGGTTATCCAAAAGTAACCATCAGCATCACGCCGAGCACCGTCGCCAGTACAATAATAACCGGGAAATTTTGTGAAATAGGTTTCCTCAAAACGTTCATGATTGTTAAACAATGAACGCATCATACCCGGCCAGGGTTGAGAGAAAACCAAATAACCTTCACCTTCACCTTTAATTTCAGTACCGCTTTCATCTAATAATGTGGGTTTAACTCCGAAGAATGGAAACGACTGTAAAATCGCAAAGAAAGCAACAAAGAACACTGCATTAATACGTGAATGCTTTTATTGTCAGAGTTAATTACTAGATCTACTTCTCCTGCTCGTACTAATAAAAATACTCAAAGCAGCTAACACAATTACTATTTATAGTTTATAGTAGTTAAAGTCGACAATATAGTAGTATAGTACTGAAGAAAGGTAGACACTCTTGCTATTATTAATACAATTACCGTCATTTCTGTCAATAGTCCTACGAACGTTGTAAGTGTTAGCTGTAGTCGATCTTGTATCGATCTTTCTATAGGTTTTTTTAGATAAATTGTCTTACGAATGGATATAGTTTTATCTCGCATCGATTCTTTTACGATGAGTACTTCTATACACGTTGCTCTTACGACTGTAATGCTTGCTTTCTAATACCGTAAGAGAGTGTAATCATATCATGCATGTGTAATCATATCGTACAATATTATGTAAAAAACTGTCTAAAAAACTCGTCGCAATCAGATACCACTTTCTCTCTCTCTCTCTCTCTCTTTCTCTCTCTTACTCTTCCTCGCTTTCTGCCTCGCTTCCTTTGTCTAATTATAAGTGATTGATATTGAAGAAAACCTTTAATGTACTTGAATGTGAAATTGTTACTTTAAGTGGACGTACGACCAAGCTAAAGATTGTGCTAATTACCTAATGTAGTATAGGTTTTTTGTTTTCCGATTATATACTTACAGCTGAACCTGGTTTCATGGGTGTAGCACCGGGCAAAGGTGTGATAACGTGGCCTCCAGTTTCAGTTTGCCAAAAAGTATCCACTATAGAGCATCTGTCTTTACCTATATTACGATAATACCACAGCCAGGCTTCTGGATTAATAGGTTCGCCTACGCTACCCAAGACCCTGTTAAAAAATTTGCAAAATTGAGCAAAAAATTCCTGTTATCTTGCTTTGCTTTTAGCCGTACTTTAAATTATCCAATTTGTGTTTCATTATGGGCCCTTCACCAAATTTCATTAAAGCTCGAATGGCTGTAGGTGCTGTATAGAATTGAGTGACCTTATACTTATCGATAACGGCCCAATAACGATCATTATCCGGATAGAAGGGAGTGCCTTCGAACTGTAAAAATAAAATTTTGTAAAAAAAAAGTCTCAAATGAAAGAAAATAATGAAAGAAAGATACCATTACTGATGTGGCGCCATTGGCTAAAGGCCCATAGACTACATAAGTATGACCAGTAATCCAGCCAATATCGGCAGTGCACCAATAAACATCGCCTGGCTTATAATCAAATACAATTTTAAAGGTAGTGGCAGCATATAATAGATAACCTGCCGTAGTGTGTAGTACACCTTTCGGTTTACCCGTTGAGCCACTAGTGTATAACATGAAAAGTGGATCTTCTGCGTCCATCCATTCAGGATAGCAGGCCGGCTCTTTATCTTCCATTTCTTCATGCCACCAATAATCACGATCGTCTGCCCACGGAATATCTTGTTCGACATGATTTTCCTGGCACGGAGTAACACGTTTTAAATGTGAAACCACAATACACTTTTCTACGGAATGACCCATCTGTTCGACTTTCTCTAAAGCAATATCACATAAAGCCTTCAGGTACAGAGGTTTCTCGCCGCGCCAAGCACCATCGGCGGTTATTAAAATCTTAGCTTTACAATCAAACATACGTTCGGCCAACGAATCAGGAGAGAAGCCAGCAAAAACAATGGAATGTACAGCGCCGATACGGGCGCATGCTAACATGGCAATCGGTAATTCTAAAATCATAGGCATATAAATCGACACACGGTCGCCTTTTTGAACGCCATGATCTTTAAGAACATTAGCGAAACGGCAGACTTCCTCCAACAATTTTCGATACGTGAGACCACGTGAATAATCATCGGGATGATTGCCTTCCCTGAAAATGAATAATTAAAAAAGAAAAGGAAAACAGATCAGTGCGAGAACCACGAGCGCGTTAAAAAAATGTAAAACCAGGAATATTTATTATTGAAAGTTAATATTATATATGTTAAGGGTAAAGTCAGAAAATTATATTCCATCAAGAGCTCTTACATGAAACTGTCTAGTTACCGTCGAGTCTGGCAATCGCCTTATACCTTGACTCTCACAAATAATCGCAATAAACTTCATATTAATGATCGCAATTATTGATAAGCTTGAGCTAACCTGAGCAATGGACCGATGGAAAGACATGGTTAATTCGATCCAGAATTCTATGTTGCTTCGGGACAGGATCGCCAGTGCATATATCTTACTGTCGTTATCTTACCATAAATTTTAAAGTTTTTAAATTTTGTTAAATTTTTATAATTAATCCGACCTTTGTATACAATTTAAGATTTCGTTTTTGTTTTATCTATGCATTGACCTACCACCGAAGGTTATGAGTGCGTTTAAAGTCTACATATATATTTTTGATCAGGATCAAATTCCGGATCGGTCTAAGCATGGCCATTCGACGGTGTGTCTGTCTGTCCATTTATGTTGACGCGTATAATAAACATTTCCCTGCACGTAGGTTCATATTGATAATTAGCGAAGTTAAGGTCAAAGGACACGTCTACAGTACAGTATAAATTGAGAGTACCACTGCCTTCTGTATATACATATTTTTTTCAAATCACTCAGGGGAGGAAGAAGAAGTGAAGAGAGGGAATGATTATAAAGAGATGGCCGCAGCCGAGTAGATCTGTGTGTCAAATCGGCAAATATTATGCCTTCTTTGCGAACAACTCTACCATACTAAGATTTGAATCCGCGAATACTAACTTATTAGAGGCGATTCTTAGCTCGAGCCTTACTCGACTGCTCTTGCGTTTTAATGTTTAGTGTTTTTTTTTTTTTTTGTTTGTTCTTTTCTTGTTCTTGTTTTTTTTTGGAAAAGGACTTATTGCGGGTTTGAAAGATTCCGCCGTTTAATTAGAAAGTAAACAAGCTCAGAATGCTATCCTAGGCAAGATCAAGGCAGATAGTTTATCACTCGCATATTTTTGAGTATCGCGCGAGACGATTCTATTTCAAGTCAAGTATGATGGAGAATTTCTAAAAATTGAAACAAATTAAATACTAATTGTAAGATCTTCGTACATCCCACCGACCATAAATGCTATCAATTATACATAATATAATTTACATTGAGATAAATACATTTATATATACAATATGCAAATGTGTGCAAATGATGGCAGGCAAGTGTACCAGTAATTTAATTTAGCTCATTTACTTCTTGCGGCGGCAAACTAAAAGAGGCTCAAGATTAGCAAAAAAGAAATAAAAAAAAAAAAAATTGAAAAATCAAACTTTCTCGTAGTTACTGTTCTTCTCAAGTTCAAAACAATCTGGTCCGGCAAATCTTCTTTACGAAGTTGCTTAGCGACATAACTAAGCGGCCGAATACATTTTGATAGCATTGGATAATAATGAATTTGAAGAAAGTTGGACGAATATTGGGCCAAAGTATTAACATTTATTGAAAATGACGTTTGATGAACGTTGATAACCGAGCAAGAGGTAAACATATTTTATTATAACGCATTAAATTATCGAAAAAGTCAATACCTTTGCTTACGTTCACACATTAATTTTCAATCTGTTTCGATTTCGAAATGATGAAACTGACGACATCGACGTCGACGTTGTTTATAAGTTTCTTTTCCATAACGTAAGCGTCATTTAATAACGTAAACAAGCGACACTAAACTAATCCATATTCAAATTTAACTTTGTTGTGTACTGTGTGTGCACTTTGATACCATTTTGAAGAATAACAAAAACGAATTTTCGAATTCCAAACGTTTAAAATCAACGCATTCATAAGACGATGCGGACATATGTTGTGGCTGTATGTCATAATTTTTAGGATATTTGCAGATAAATTTGTTTCTATTATGGCACATTAAGGGTCAATACATGCATACATGCATACATACATACATGCATACATACATACATACATACATACATACATACATACATACATACATAC